CATCCTTTGTTGGCATTAAATTCTCCAGCTTTAGATCCTTCATCTTCCTTTTGCTTTAAGTTGTCATATAATGACTTTGCTTTTACTTAATCATATTAGAGTCTACAGCTGTGCCTTTCTTACAGCAATCCTGCACCTACACAAAGCTACATTTTCAATAAAAGATAAAAAAGTATTTTGCAAAAAGTGTAAGGTTTTCACACCTGGCTTCATGAATTTCCTTTTCTTTTTTCCATAGTGGTCTTTATGCTAGATAAATTGATCTTGAAATGGTGGGCAACCGGAGCTGCAGACCTCAATCTACGGTACATATATCAAGCAATTCAACTTTTTCTTATAATGTCGTAACTTTTCTCAGCTTCTTGGGAGCATTTCCAGCTTCCCTAGTGGCACTTTGCATGGGTCCCAAGGCTTATGGTATTGCATGAAACACAATGAAAAATACACAAGAACTGGAAGAGATCACTTTTTACGGTGATACCCAATTTACTGGAGAGACAAGCTGTTCATGCAGAGATGATTAGCATCACATGGCATTTTAAGCAGATAAGATACTTAAGCTCACTGTAACAGCAAATGGAGGTGGGTAGGCAATTATACAGTAATACAGTATGTACCGCAGTTAATTTTATGCAGTTATGATTTAATACTACATCATTATATTTCTCTCGACTAAATGGTGCCATGTATATTCTGTGTAAGTTTTGATTAACTTTTTACAATAGATTTGTATATATTTTATGGTAATAAGTAATAAAATAGAATCTACATATATTTTATGCATTCATGACATACCTAGCTTTTTCTTATTTTCTTTAGTACTTCTAGGCTACATGGTTCATTTGCTAGTTTTTAAAAATTGTTGCAAATCTCCAAAAAATTTTCCAATGTTTATAAAAAAAAAACCAACTCTGCATGTAAGTGGACCCACACAATTCACACCCATGTTGTTCAAGGATCAACTGTATACTCTGCATAGTAATTTCACCCCCACAATGAAGATTTTTTTTCCTAACTAGAAATAAATAAGGTACATACTATATAGAGTTTGTGGGAGAACGTTAAAAGATGTAAATTTTCCTCTTACTGATCTATAGATTCAATGCAATTCCAACCAAAAATCCAACATGAATTTTCAGTTAATCTTTTTTTTTTTTTTTAAAGATTTTATTTATTTATTTGAGAGAGAGAATGAGAGAGAGAGAGCAGGAGAGGGGGGAGGGTCAGAGGGAGAAGCAGACTCCCTGCAGAGTAGGGAGCCTGATGCGGGACTCGATCCTGGGACTCCAGGATCATGACCTGAGCCGAAGGCAGTTGCTTAACCAACTGAGCCACCCAGGCGCCCAAATTTTCAGTTAATCTTAAAAGCTGTTTTTAAAGTTTGTATGGAAGAGTGGTAGCTAGGGTCCCCACAAGGGCAGAGAGGTTTGCCTTTACAAAGATTTAATTATACAGCTTTATAACAAGACAAAATGCTACTAGTGTCTTGTCAGATCTGCGGAACAGAAAAGACAACTGAGTATATATAAAGGAAAAAAAAAAGAAATTGGATCCCTGACTCCTACTGTACCAGATAATCAATTCTAGGTACATCAAGGACTTTCATGTAAGAGGCAGAAGTACAAAACTTTTCCAAGAAAACCTAGGAGAATTGTGTTTTGATCCAAGGTTCAGAAGCAATTTTATAAGCAAGATACAAAGAATACTAACCATAAAAGAAATGATTTATACATTTAACACCTGGGTTCTCATATCTCCTATGTAGAGAAAAGACAAGTCACAAACAGGGAGAACATGATGGGCGAAAAGCGGTATTTCACAAGGGAAGCAACATAAAAGGCAATCTCCGAAGAAGATACACAAATGTCCAATAAACACACAAGATGTTCAACATCGTTAGCCATCAGGGAAATGTGTATCAAAACCACAATAAGATACCACCTCATACCCACTACAATGTAATAAAAAGCCAGCTAACAGCAAGTGCTGGAAAGGATGTGGATAATTTTGAACCCTTGTACACTGCTGATGGGAATATATAAAATGGTGCAGTTACTTTAGAAACAATCTCGCAGTTCCTCAAAAGATTAAAGAGAAGTCACCATACATCCCAGCAATTCTATTCCTAGGTGTACAGGTATGTACCCAAGAGAACTGAGAACATTTGTCCACACAAACACTTGTACACAGGATGTCCACAGCTGCATTATTCGTAATAGCCAAAAAGGGAAAACAACCTACCAACTGAGGAATGGATAAACAAATGTAGAATACCCACACAATGGAATACTATTTGGTAATAAAAAGGAATGAAATACTGATACATGTGACAAAGCGGATATTTCTGAAAACTTTACACTCAGTGTAAGAAGCCAGTCACAAGAGGCCACTTTGCATGATTCTATGTATACAAAATGTCCACAATAGACAAATCTATAGCACTAGAAAGTAGATCAGTGCTTGCCTGGTGCTGGGAGAGGGAGCAATGGGGGAGAGACTGCTGGTGGATCTAGGGTTTCTTTTTGGGGTGATGAAAAGATTCTAAATTTAGATTATGGTATGGTGGCACAACTGTGATATACCAAAAACTACTGAACTATAAACTTTAAATTAATGAATTGTATGAATTAAGTGAATTAAACTGTTAAAAATGATTTATTTCATTAATAAATGAGGAAATGCACAGTAGGACCAAATATAATTTTGGTCTTTTCTATCTACTAGATGGACAAAAATTAAGTTGTCTGATGGTTTCTTATAGAACAAAAGGAATTCTCATACATTGCTGGTGGGAATGTAAATTGACCATTTTATAAAAATAACTTGGTAATATTTGTAGAAATTACAACGTGCAGTTCCTGTATTGGTATATACACAGGTTCACTGGAAGACATGTATAAATATGCTCTAACAGCACTGTTCCTTTTTTTTTTTTTTTTAAAGATTTTATTTGAGAGTGAGAAAGAGAGGGCACGACCAGGGGGGAAGGTGAGAGGGAGAAGCAGACTCCCTGCTGAGCAGGGAGCTTGATGTGGGACTTGATCCCAGGACTCCAAGATCATGACCTGAGCTGAAGGCTGACGCTTAATCAACTGAGCCACCCAGGTGCCCAACAGCACTGTTCCTAAAACAAAACTAGCACAACAGAAAGGTCTATCGACTAATAAGAAAACAGATAATTAAGTTTTGATGCATACAATGGAGTATCAGGCATCTGTGAACAACATGTATCAGTTTGGGAAAAATACTGAATTGAAAAAGTCCCAGATTACATTATTATTATTTTTTTTTGAGTGCAAAAAAAGTATCAAAACTAAGGTACCTTGTTTAAGGATACGTACATGACAATTACTAAAAAATAAAATCCAGAGAATGATAATCATGAAATTCAGGAATATGATCACTCCTATGGGGCAGGCAAGGGATAGATGGGTAGGATGGGAAGGGGCATATAGGTAGATGCACCAGTACTGGGAATATTTGAGTTCTTAAATGGGATGATGAGTTCCTGGGTATTTCTTGTGTTTTATAACTTACGTGAGTGACATGTATTCTCTTGTATGAAGCACATACTACCTAATAATAAATTGTAACACATTCAGACAAATCAATGATTAATAGTCACCTATAATGAGTTACCATAAATGGCTAACACATTTTAATACTGATCCTTCCAATTTAATATTGATTGTTCCACAGATCCTTAGCTCTGTGCAGTGCCAGACACACAGTAGGTACTCAAATACTCCCTGAGTTAATTTTTTTTCTTTAGAATAAATTCCCAGATGGAACCACTTAATATGTATTTTCTATTTTTTTTAAAGATTTTATTATTTTTTTTTAAAGATTTATTTTTTTAGAGAAAGAGCAGGGTGAGGGGCAGAGGGAGAGAGAGAATCCTGAAGCAGACTCCCCACTAAGGAGGGAGCCCCAAGTGGGGGCTCGATCCCAGGACCCTGAGATCATGACCTGAGCTGAAATCAAGAGCCGGTTGCTTAACGAACTGAACCACCCAGGTGCCCTTAAGTTTTTATTTATTTATTTTTTTCCCCTTTCCTTTCCTATTTATTTATTTATTTATTTGAGACAGAGAGAATGAGAGAGCCAGAGAGCACATGAGAGGGGGGAGGGTCAGAGGGAGAAGCAGACTCCCTGCCGAGCAGGGAGCCCGATGCGGGACTCGATCCCGGGACTCCAGGATCATGACCTGAGCCAAAGGCAGTCGCTTAACCAACTGAGCCACCCAGGCGCCCAAGTTTTTATTTTTAACTAACCTCTACACCCAGCATGGAGCTTGAACTCACAACCTCTAAATCAAGAGTCACATCTTCTACTGACTGAGCCAGTAAGGTGTGCCTTAAGGTATGTATTCTGAAGTGAAAGGTCTTGTCAAATTAGCCTCTTGACAGCTCATACTGACAACACTTTTATGAATCAGTCTGAGTAGTTTTCATTTTTCAGACTTCTGCAAATACTTGGGTATAAATCTTTTTAATCTTTGCCAGTTCTGTAGGCAATAAAGGCCTCCTTCAGTTAAGCATTTCTTTGATCAGTACTGGAGCAATCTTTTTTGCATTTACTGTGGCCATTTCTAATTCCTCCATGAGTTGATTAGTTCCCTTCTTTTGCCCATTTTTCTACTGGGATACTAATCTTTGCTTTCTAGGAACTCATCTATTTTGATCAAGAACTCATCTATTATGACCAAGAACCCTTTTTCATATATGTTGCAAATATTTTCCCAATTTGTCATCTGTCCTCACTTTGTTTATGATGGGCTTTTGGGAGGGGGAGAAAGGAAGAAGGGAGGATACAGATCTGTTTATAAGTGGTCCAATCAGTCTTTTAGAAGACTCCTTCCCACCACAGAGAAGAGAAAAATTCTATTCTCTGTTCCTCAAATTTCACAGTTTAAGATTTAAATTTTAATTCTAAATTTGTACAACCTGGAATTTATTTCAGAGTATTGGCTCAGGCCTGATTGAGGGCTTTATACTCACCAAAATGGGCAATAAAGACATCCCATCCATCTGTGTCTTATTTGGGTTATATCCAGCAATATCCAAAATAGTAGGACCCAAGTCAATGTTGGCAACGAGCATCTAGGAGAATGAGAAAAAAAAAACAAGCAATCTAGAACACAGCTGGTCTGGTTTTCCTTTTCTATCTATAATAAAACTCTTCCCCTACCCCACCCATGAGACAAACAGCATTTGTTGTTATTATCTTTTGTACAGCCCAGACTTACTGAGGTCTTACTGATTCATTGATTCATTTAACTACAATAATTCAAAAAACAAAACATAAAGGTTTATGAGATTTGTAATACATGCCCCTGGGAAGTTATGTATCTATTCAACCCATACTGTTACTGATCAAAAAACATTTTTCGAAACTTCTTTGGGACTGCCCCAAGTCTGAAGAATCATGAGAAACTGTTGGGCTAATTATTTTATACAAAGCGTTTACAACTTGTATTTCTACAGTTCACTACATTTCATTTCAAATGGACTCCTGACATGCTTCTTACCAAGGAAGATATTAGCCCTTTTTGTAGTTTCTCAAAGTGATAACGCTACTAAAAAATGTTTGCAATAGGGAGGTGAAGGAGGGGGATTAAAAAAAATTTGTTTGCAACAGGCTATGGAGACTGCAGAAAACTCATTCCAACAGTGCATCGATAAAAGTTTCCTTAAAGAGCACAAAACTAAGATGTGATAAATAAACACTCTAGGAATTAAGGTTACTGTCCTGCATTTATACCTTGCCTTATTTCTTTGGTTTATTAGACTATTTTCCTTCTGTATACAAATCCTTTAGGACCTAAACAGCGTAGTCCCATAGAAATATAATGGGACCACGTATGTAATTTAAGATTGTCTAGTGACCACATTAAAGTAAATAGAAAAAGGGGAAGAAATTCATTGTATATATTTTATTTAACTTGATATATCAAAAATAGTACTATTTCAAATGTGCAATATAAAAAATTTAATGAGATTTTATCTTTTATTTTTTAACCAAGTCTGAAATCTGTAACACATCTCAGTTTGGACTACCCCATGTTTTGGCTCAACAGGCGCAGTGGCTGGTGGCCACTGTAGGCCTACATAGGGCCGAAGCATACACCTAAAGTCACTTAAATCACAGGCTAGGAAAAGCTTTCAGAGTGGTGAAGACAATCCACCAGGGAAACCAGGGGAACTAATGTTTACCGAGCACCTATTCTGTGCCAGCCCTTATAGTTTATCCTCTGTTAATCCTCACCACGACCCTAGGATGCAGTATTTCCCCTGTTTTACAGATGAGGAAGTGAAAGAGAAGTAATCGAAACAAAATCAACAGCTGGTAACTTGAAAAGCTACCATTTACTGAAAGGAAATAAAAGTCTTCAGGATTGTTGAGAAAACTGAGAGCAAAGGCCAAAGGGGGATGAAAAAAATAAAACCTAACACAGGAACTTGTCATTTAAAAACAAAACCAAAAGTACAGACATAAAAGGCAAGAAAACATCTTCAGAGCATTGTTCCTCAGGGGCCAGGTTTCCTGGCAGCTATGATGGCTCTTGTAGGGCAGAGTGATATACTTATCTTGGCTCTGAATCAATTAGTTTAACGCTGAGCTGTCAGAAATTACCATTCAATGGTAAGCCACTCACGGGAAAGGGAATCCTTTCTTTACTTTTATACTTAAGTGATAAGAGTTAGAGAACTAGATTCTAATTCTTTTTTTTTTTTTTACAGATTTATTTATTTATTTATTTATTTGACAGAGAGAGACAGACACACACACAGCAAGAGAGGGAACACAAGCAGGGGGAGTGGGAGAGGGAGAAGCAGCCTTCCCGATGAGCAGGGAGCCCGATGCGGGGCTCGTTCCCAGGACCCTGGGAACATGACCTGAGCCAAAGGCAGATGCTTAATGACTGAGCCACCCAGGCACCCCTAGATTCTAATTCTAGATTCAAGAATTAGAATGGATACTATGGGCCCATGATCATAATGACTTCTATAAACACTAACAATTCAAGTCCTAAAATGGTACTGCTTCTATCGTTAAGTATAAAAGTTACTGAGGAAAAACCCCACAAAAACAATGTCGGGGTGCCTCAGTTGTTAAGCGTCTCCCTTCAGCTTAGGTCATGATCCCAGGATCCTGGGATCGGGCCCCACATCGGGCTCCCTGCTCAGCAGGAAGCTTGCTTCTCCCTTTCCCACTCCCCCTGCTTGTGTTCCCTCTCTCTTTGTGTCTCTCTGTGTCAAATAAATAAATCTTAAAAAAAAAACCCAAAACCAAAAAACAATGTCTCTAGGGATTATGCAAGACCCAGTGTAAGAGATATCTTCCCTAATTCCAAGTCTCGCAGGCAGACTGAGCCACTCTGAATACAGTCAACAAGAGTGGGTATGAATATGGAAGAGATCATGGCAGGAAAAAAGAGATAAGCAGAAACATAACCTCCAGAATTGGATCAAGGCCAAAAGACCCTGACGTGTGACTGAAATACCTTCAGTCATGTCTAGAACATGAAGTAAAGCCAAATCCACAGATACTTGTCCAAAGCAGTTTTATAAGAAAAGAAAAGTAAACACCAAAATAATAAAACCCACAGAGATATAAAATGGACTGCCTGTTTCATCAGGAATTGCCTTAAGAGCCATCAGCTATATGATGGGAGGCTCTCTCAAATGGCAGTCTCTTCTATGGGGAGAAAGGTCTGTAAGTTTCAGTACAAATCAAAAGTCACTAAGATTTGTCCCAAGTATCATAGACATCATCTCAGGACTCTGTTCCCAGCTATCTACAATAATTCCATTTTTCCCTAAAAAATAATGGACAAATTCTCTTCCCTTCTAGGCTTTGGTTTGACTAAGAGATAAAGAATCTCAAAATCAGCATACTATGTCAGAAGATGGGAGACTTCTAGTGGATATGGGGTATGAGTGAAGAATCCAACAGAGAATTCTACCTGTCTCTGGTTTTTACAAACAAGAAATAGAATGGATACTATAGGCCCATGATCATAATGACTTCTAGAAACACTAGCAATTCAGGTTCCTAAAATGGTATTGCTTTTATCACTAAGTATAAACTTAAAGATTCACTTATGGATTGGAACTGAAAAGCACTGACAAGAACAGAAGTAAATTATTTCATAAATCACAGCCTCACAGTTTGGGAATATTCTTAGGATTTACGTATATAGATATTCTGATCAAATAAAAGCCCTTAGAAAATTCTGGGGCATGAATTCAAAGGATATCATGCCTTGGAGCTGCTTATTTTTTAGCTCTAGAAGAATGACAGAGCTACAGAATTACAGAGAAAAAATAAGACAGCTCTCTGGAGGATACATCGGGTTTCCAAATGGACATTTAAACCCTGATATTACAGGATTCATGTAGGGTTATCAAAGGAAAGACCGCAAGCACACCAGAGAGCACCCCAAATCCATGCAGTGAAAAGCAATGAACTATTGCATAAGAAAGCAGAGGACTCCCCACATCTTGGGCTACTTCATCTGGATTTACCCCTCAGCCCCATCTTCCCTATAAGGAAGAAGCCAGGGTGTCACTGAGTTAAACTTGAGAATTTTCCACTTACCATTCTCCCAATTTCACACAGGGAAACAAGGCCTATTTGGCCAGTCTTAAAGCCAATATGTTGTCTTCTTGACCCCCCAGTTCAGTTCTATTTCTCCTGGATCATGCTGTGTCATTTTTTTCCCCATTAACCTTTTCCTTTCTTAAAACCCTTTTGAAGAATTTCTACCACCAAATCTAAAGCTAGATTAACTTCCAGCCAGGAGAGAAAACCTCAAGAAGCCAGTCTTTGGCATCCACACATATCACCTGCTTCTGCTCTCCAACAGCTACCACAAAGCTAAGCCCACTGGTCAAACGTGCCCTGTTTGGGCCATCAGCTTTTGACAGCTCAGCTTATTATGCCCAACTCATAACCCTGTGCCACTCACACAGGACACCTGGCACCAAGACAACTATGTTGCCAACACATGATGAATCGCCCACCATCTCTGACATTCTTTGTGCTAGGTGGAGGCTGAGCATTTCATACTTCTCACACTACATCTGTCAGCACAGCAATGCAACACACACACACACACGATTTTAAGAACAGACAGTTAATTTTCAGTCCTGGTTCTGCCACTTACGGCAGAACCGTAATAACATGTGACCCTGATAATAACCATTCAAGCAACATGGATGTCCCCCAGTGTGTGTTAAGGGCTGGGTATTCTAAGCTTAGACAGTGCCTTTCTTCTAGGAACTCCTCAAGGAAAAAAAACCAGTAGGGTGTGGTGAGTGTGAGGGCAGCTAGGCACATGGGAAGGGCACCTACCCCAAGTAGGGGCGGGGGTTTGTAGTGACTCTCCAGACAGAAGCCCCAAACCGAAGCTCTAAAGGACAATTAGTGAGGTGCAAGGGGCATAAGCGGGGCATTCCAAACAGAAGGAGCAATCAGCCATACAAACACAAGGCAGTGAGAGAGATGGTGCACTTAGAAGTGAAAGTAGTTCAGTACAGCTCCCATTCTGTCCCCTGAACAAGCCCAGCTCATTCTCAGATGTGTGCTTTCACATTTACTGTTCTGCTCAGAATGCCCTCCCACAGATCTCTGCAGGACTAAATCCTTTTCAACACCCAGGTCGCTGCTCAAATGCCTCAGAAGCTTTCACTGACAACTATAGCTGAAGGATCTGGCTCTCTGGACACTGTGAGTTAAGAACCAATCTTCCCTGACTGCTCAGTGCTGTGTATCCAAGCCTGCTAGCACAAGAAGATACTTAAATATTTTCTGAGCTATACAGTAATGGTTAAGTATAGACTCTGGAGCCAGACTCTGGTTTTTTATAGCTACATTATCTTGGGCAAGCCATTTAACTTCTATACCTCAGTTCCCTCACCTGTGAAATGGGTATAACACTATCTATATCTCATAAGGCTGTGACAGTTAAATGAATTGATATAGCTAATACACTTAGAATAGCACCTGTCACACACTAAGCAGTCATTAAGCGATAGATACTATTGTTGAAATGGTTTCCTAGGAATCAGGTTTCATTTAGACTGCTCAGAGAAGGTGAACTTTTCTGATTTTAGTATTTAGATGCCACTGTTCACTTGAAGATAAAAGGAACAGTTTGATGGGTAGCTGGCTGACACATTCCATTCTGTTCTCATTCAGCCTCCTTCCCCACGCTGGTTAGAAGTGGCCCTAGTAGCCCTGCTCCTTGGAAATGCATACAGCTGCCAATCTGTTCTCCTGAGTCAACTCCCAACACCAAGATCAAGAAAACGCTTTTAAGACTAAGTGAAATAAGTCAATCAGAGAAAGACAATTATCATATGATCTCACTGATATGTGGAATTTAAGAAACAAGGCAGAGGATCATAGGGGAAGACAGAAAAAAATGAAACAGGACAAAACCAGAGAGGGAGACAAACCATAAGAGACTCTTAACCTCAGGAAACAAACTGAGGGTTGCTGGAGGGGAGGTGGGTGGGGGGATGGGGTGGCTGGGTGATGGACACTGGGGAGGGTATGTGTTGTAATGAGCACCAGGTATTAAATAAGACTGATGAATCACAGACCTGTACCCCTGAAACAAATAATACATTGTAAAAGTAAAAAATTCAAATAAATAAAGTTTTTAAAAAAAGACTTAATGGTCCTCCAAACTCACCTATCTCCTTTGAAAGGAGACCATTTACAGGGTATTGAATTTGTAGTGGGAAGTGATTGGCTTTAGGAATGTAGGTGTTAAGAAAAAAAGAAAACTCAAAAGAAATTATGAAGGCCATTTTACCTTTCTGAAAGAATTTCAACATAATTCCATCATGAGCATTACAAAAAGAAGTGAATTACAGACACTTAAACATTAAACCCCCAAATTAGACTAAAGTACCTAGTATACCCAGAAAGTCTGGCCCATTTTCCAATTTTAGCTTAAATGATGTATTTGCTCATTTTCTTTTGTCTCACAGAGCTGGGACTGAAACTGTGTTATTAGAGAAAAGAAGACATAACCAGTAGAGCTTATCAATTCTTATCTTCCAAGCATTAGACCAAAGTGTTTTGGATCAGAGTGCCCCCAATCTCCAGGAACAAAGTGCCTCAGTATTAGGTACCCAGTTTGAAAAAGATACTGAAACCAAATGGAAATGGCAACAAAGGAAAGTGGTACATTATGATAGTTCTAGGAGAGAGAATCAGTAAAACAGAAATGCTTTAGTGAGGAAGAGTCCCACAGAAAGAGGGACGAAATCCTCAGAAGACATGCTTTCTATAGCTTTATACTCAGTGAGGTCAGACCCGCAGCAGCTATCAGTTGGGAGGTCAGAAATGCAGAATCAGAATCTCTATCTGCATTTTAACAAGGTCCCCAGGGCGATCAGCCAGAGGAGCTCTGATCTACTGGATAGTGGGTCCCAAACTGGGCTGCCTCAGAATTATCTGTGAGCTGCAGAAAAAAAAGCAGAGGCTGGGTCTCTATTCTAGTCCAAGTGAGTCCATTAGAACCATTCTGGATGTTGAACCTTTCACAATTTCAGAAGGTGATGCTGATGAGAACCCTGGTGGAAAGTCACTGCTCCAGGACAAAGTAAAGATTTACAGTCTTCAAGGACAAATAAAAGATACTCATACTGATAGGATATGTATATATCCGGGGGGGGGGGAATACAGTTAATAAAAGGTGCCCAGGAGTTAAAAAAATAAAAGTAAAAAAGAGAATCACCATCTCCAAGGCTTATTAATACACTTACAAGATCTTAAGCCGATCAGACTTCATCCTCGTAGGAAGAGAAATCTAATCAGTCTCCTCTTCAGAGAAGCAGCCTTCTTTCCTCAGGCAAGTGCTACCTGTAAACATCATCAGTTTCTCAGGCACCTACCTTGCTTGTCTGATTTGGTTTGATCCCAGGTCCTCGAACCAGCAGTGGAACTTTGATATCAAACTCATACAGCTGTCTTTTGTCTATTGGCAAAGAAAACTGTCCTGAAAACAAAATACAGAGGGTAAAGATGGAACCAGGAGCCAGGACAGAAGTGTCACTCACACATTCACTCAATCGACAGTAAGAATGAAAACAACTCTGTTCTACTGTTTATGGGGCTTTAATGGAAAGTTTACAACTGCTTGGGTCTCTTATTACTACAAGGCAGGAAATGAGTTAATCTTTATTTTTCTATTTTTTTTTTAAAGATTTTATTCATTTATTTGAGAGAGAGAGAGCATGTGAGTGAGAGCACAAGCAGGGGGAGCTGCAGAGGGAGAGGGAGAAGCAGGCTCCCCACTGAGCAGGGAGCCCGATGTGGGGCTCGATCCCAGGACCCCGGGATCATGACCTGAGCCGAAGGCAGATGCTTAACCAACTGAGCCACCGAGGCACCCCATGAGTTCATCTTTAAACAAAAGACTAGGGAGACTCCTTGGTCTAAGATAGGACAAATTCAGCAAAAACAGACTGGAAAGTACTGAAACACAAATACATCATTTATGTATGATACTCAACCTGACTACAATTGAATGAGGTTGCTCTAAAAACTGTAAATAAAGGGACAAAAACATTTATTTGGCCTTTCCTGAATAAACTGCATTTCAAGATAACTAAACAGTTGAGTTCTTCTCTAAGGAATTCCAACTAATAAATGCAAAAGGAAGGACAGGGTTATGAAGTCATCATTTTGCCATTTTTGAGAGAATAGTGGATTAAAAAAGCAACAATCATCAATGGAAGCTTCGGCCACAAAAGGTTCATAGGACAGGCCCAGGCTGACACCCCATGAGCCATCGATTAATAGCAGCATCGATCAAGTGGGTCAACCAGACACCACCATGAAGCATGAAGTGATGTAACAGGAAGTACTATCATTATCACCAAGGAAGCATTTTCGTTGAAAATGTCCATTTCTATTAAGACTCTAGATCTAACTACCAATCTGTAGAAAATGCTGACTACAGAAACACAAGTTAAAGCATCACAAGAATGCAATTAGCCAAACCCAGAATGTGAGATATTCTAAAGAACAACAACAATAAAAACTCTTCCCAATAAATCAGTGGCAATAACCAGCCTCAGGGCACATAATAAATACAGACAGCATGTGGACTTTGTCTAGGCCCTGATACATAATAAAGTAGTCAGATGCACAATGTAGTGTTGATGTACAGGATCACAATATCTGAAGTTTCTTCAAAACCCTCTAAGCTAAATAAAGACAAACATGGGGAAGGTAGGAAAAATTCGAAAGACTGGCCACATGTAGCTGAAAACTGAAGCTGGAAATGGAGGTCATTTTATTAGTCTCTACTTTGAGTGTTTAAAAACATTCACAACAAAACATTAAATGCCTCATCAATCTGCTCCTATGCAAGCAAGCCTCAGGTTAGTAGTTTTCAAGTTTATGAAATTGATAGCTGGGGAAAGAAGACATTCATTTTTAAGAAAATCCAAGTGGAAAAAAGGAAAGTCAAGGATATGGGGTTGACTCATACATAGTTTTGAAAAGACAAAACATAAAACAAAACCACAAATATCCACACACAAACACACACACAAAATCAATAAAACATCTCACAATTTCACAAGAAAGGGGTTTTCCCCCAAGACAACCTTCTCTTGGTCTTTCTGTATAAAATCTCTTACCCCAATCTCTAAGGTCTACTTGCCCTTTAAATCTAGTTCAGTTTTGGGGGGCCTGGGTGGCTCAGTCGGTTAAGCGCCTGCCCGGGGCTCAGGACATGATCTCAGGGTCTTGGGACGGAGCCCCGCATGGGGCTCCCTGCTCCCCAGGGAGTCTGCTTCTCCCTCTCCTTCTACCACTCTCCCTGCTTGTGCTCCCTCCTTCCCCCTCTCTAATAAATAAAATCTTTAAAAAAAATAAATCTAGTTCAGTTTCTTACCTTTTTCCTAAAGCCTGCCTCCAACCTAGCAAGCTCACTCTCTGCTCCCAACTCCTAGTACATCATGTAATTTGGCACATGAAATAACAAATAACGAAACCTGGTCTCTCCACGTGCGAATGAGTTGACCCTCCAACCAGAGGGGTCTTGAGGGCAGCACCCTCCCCCCCTGGCCTATCCATTGCCACAACAGGCCTAGAGCTCCCTGCTAGTGCTGCTGACTGGGTGAAAAAGGAAAAGCACCTCATCAAGGCCACGGGAACACCCCAGTCTGCCCTTACCTGTGTGATAGCCATTGTCTGAAGTATAAAAGATGTACGTGTTGTTAAGTTCCCCATTGAACTCTAATCTCTTGACCAGTTTCTCCACAAGGTCATCAACTGACAGTAAAGTTTGCCACCTGGATGTACACAGAGAGTGACAACGGGATTTCAGAAACAATGGCTGAAGGAATGCTATCTTGCCAAAAAAGCAGAAGTCCAAAACAAAACCACCCAAAGCCCCCAAACCACGCTCCCCAAAAGCTCAAATCCCAAACTTCCTTTCCTCAGACCACTCACTGAAAAAAAAAAAAAAAAAAGATTAGAAAATCCCAGAACACAATTAGTTCATTATAAATTTAACTGTTCCCAAAGAAATAAACGAGGCTTTTAATAACCAGTTAGTTTTATTAACACTGGTGATGAGAGCAGAAACAACTGGAAGGGAAAGCCGTCAATTCAGTACTGGTGAGCACAGATTAATTCAGATAGACCCATGCCACAACAACGTTTAAGGGTCTAAACTAGGGGTTGGCAAGCTATAGCGATGGGCCAGTTTGCCCACTGTTTTTATTTTTAAATTGTGATAAAAAACACACAACATAAAATTTACCATCTTAACAAATTTTAAGGGTACAAGCAATAGCATTAAGTATATTCACATAGTGAAGCAGATCTCCAGAAGCTTTTCTTCTTGCAAATCTGAAACTCTGTACCCATTAAACAACTCACTATTTTTATATAAAGTTTTACGGGAACACAGTTGTACTCATTCATTCACATATTGCCTAGTTTTACTCCAACAGCAAAGCTGGGCAACTGTGATAAAGACTGTCTGGCCTGATAGGCTATATTTACTCTCTGGCCCTTTACAGAAAAAGTTTGCTAGCCCCTGGTATAATCTAAATACATCTTAAGAGACTGTAATGAATTTTTAAGAACTGAGTTAAAGAAATTCCTTGAAATTTCAAATAGCAATGGCAAATATTCTGCTCTAGTCTAAACCCTTGGGTCTTATGCAAATATTGGGCCTGAGCTCTCACAAAGTGACCTTTTCTTCAGACATAGGGAAAAAAAAAATTTTTTTTTTAACCAAATGGCTCCAGCTTGCAATTATGTTTTAAAAAGTCATAAAAATGAACTGTTTTATTAGTTTTATTAGTCCTGAGGTCCAAAGACCATCTCCTACACCTTCTGGGGCAGCAGACCCCCCAATCAAAGAGTCTCTCCCACCAACTCACTACCTTCTGATTTTGTCTCAAAGATAACCATATTGTGCAGCCCCCTGTTCACGGGCTGATTTGGAGGGTCCTCAAAGACAACCCCGATTGAGAAAGTAGCAGCTCTTACCTTTTCCGAAATGCATTATCTAAAAACTGTATTGAAGAATTAGTCATTGGGGTCTTGGCTTGCCTAATTAACCAGTGTTTATTCTAAAATTTAAAAGAAAAAAAAAATGTTAGCACCAAGTCACTACAATCAAATAAACTACTAGAGTATATAATGAAAAGGAGCATTTTATACTTCAGCAAAAAGGAACTTACCGGAGCATTTAAGGAACTTAAGATTTCCTCTCCCCTGCCCCATGTACTCCTAAAAACACTTTCTACAGATTATCACTCGTTCTTTAGCTTCTTCCCAGTAGCTCCGAAGGCCTGGGCTCCTTGTTAGCAGCATTAATCAGCATTCCAAGAGATTTAGTGAAAGATTTTGGGAAACTACTGGTTAAAAGGAGACAATCTATAACACCTAGTCTATGCTTTGGGTCTACTACCCAAGCTACAAAAGGGTAAATATTAACTTTACCTTCCAGTAAGTTTTGCCCTAATAAGCCATCATTCTATCACCCTCTATTTTCCTACCCAAGATAATGATTATCCTAGAACCTTGGGAAAAATCTCATCATAGCAATTTCCTAAAACCTCAAGCCCAAATCTAGAGGGTTCTTGTCATTTAAATAAAGCACTCACAGTTCTAAAAAACAAAAACTTCCCCATACATCACTAATTCTCTCCTCTCTACTCATAAAGCCCTAAGTTACCATCTCCCAAACTATCAGCCTCCAAGGGTTTTTAGTTAATATGTTTGAGAAACGTTATACAGCATATCCTCTTGTTGGAAATCCATGTTGGAACAGGAATAACTCTGAGAAATTCTGTACTGGAGTGACTTAGTTAAAATTTCTAAACTTACTTGCTTAAGGGAACTTCTATTAACTTCTTTCGGAACATAGAGAATGGCCCTCTAGTTCAAAACTCAGTTCTCTCAGCTTTAAAAATCCTACTTAAACATTTGCCTACAATGTGCCATGCAACATGCTGCATATTTCTATCTTCTTTAATCCATATTGCAGCTGCACGAGGAAAGAGGACCTCCCACTTTATTTATTTCTCCCACTTTAGATAGAAAAGCAGAAGTTAAGCATCTCGCTCAGTCAGGTCACTTGGCTCGAAAGTGGTAGTGCTGAATCTAATCCAAGACTCATTCTGCCTACCACACCTCACCAGTAATTAAGATTTCTGGGCAACAGGCACAAGGCAGTACAGAACTTCTGCCTTTGAACCAGTGAACAGTCTACCCTCTGTGCCAAGGAAAGTATAAGTAACTGGCATATTAGGCAAGTATTTAGGGTGTGGTCCTTAATTATATTCCCTGTTCTGGCTCATTTCTCCATTCAACTTCCTTTTCTAATCATATTGCACTATGTCACCCCTTCTTTCCTATGCCTCAGGCCCGGTGAGGGCCACCCACAGAAGGCTGCTGCAGGCCTAGCTCAGCCCCATGGGACATGTCTCAGTCACTGCCACATAGGAGGAGAGCCAGCACAGAGATTAGCAGGAGAGCCTGTAGTCAAGAAAGATAGCATTTCTTTAAATATTTCCTGTGGACTCTCCAGCTAACTGGATGTGTGGCAGGAAGCTTACCTGTCCTTCTGAAGCAAGTTTATGCTATTATACTCAAGATAGGTATAATTACCTTTAAAAGATCTGGAAGGAAAACCAACTACATGGCCCAAAGGCTCCCTAACAAGGTAATATACAGTTACTTATATCAAGTGTTTAATTTAAGGGTTAGGGGAAGCTACCGTTCCATGGATGTTGAAGTTCTTATTTCTTGGTGCAAAGACGTTCTGGAAGGTCTTCTGGTACTGAGGTGCGGCTGTCCAAGGAGAATGAGGTGCTGGTGTGGAGATCATCATGAAGAACGGCTCAGAGTTGGACTTGTAGTCCAGGAAGCCCAAAGAGATGTTAGCCTGAGATATACAAAGATCTGTCATCTTCTATCTTACCCAACAGTTCAGGACTTGAGAGATGCATGCTCTCAGGTATACAGGAAGTATAGGGTCATATTAGTTTTTAATCAGTCTTAAAAATTTTAACCAATTTTAACAATCTTAACATTAACATAATCTATGTCACAGTTATTTACAAGTGTGTTGTTGGAACAAATATTTGGGTTTTAGGCAATACTTATTTAAAAAAATGGAAAAGCAGGGCGCCTGGGTGGCTCAGATGGTTAAGCGTCTGCCTTTGGCTCAGGTCATGATCCCAGGGTCCTGGGATCGAGTCCCACATCGGGCTCCCTGCTCCTTGGGAGCCTGCTTCTCCCTCTGCCTCTCTCTCTCTGTCTCTCATGAATAAATAAATAAAATCTTAAAAAAATAAAAAAAATAAAAATAAAAAAATGGAAAAGCATACCATCCTAAAAAGCAAGTAAGATCTTAGTGATTATACATGATCTAAAAATTGTTACACCTCCCATAAGGAAAGAAATAGTAATTTGGCCTTTTAAGGATTAGCTGCATTAATACGGCTTAGAGTATGCCTCTGATGCCTTAAAGTATATAAAAAGAGAGTCAATCTAATTCACAGTGGGACAGGTGGATTAAGTTACCTTACTCTTAAAAAAATATACAGAGCGTAGATATCGTAAGTTATGCCAGCTAAAGCAGTTAAGCTAAATGAATAACATTAAATCCAAATACCTCACACCAGGATTTTAATTTATATTGACTTACATTTTTCATTTGCTTATCTGGAGATACATTATGAAAATGAAAGCATCCCACATACATGCTATGCGTTTAATTGTTCTAGTTGATTTATAGCTTGTTTATTCCCACCACTAAACTCAAAGGATATTGACCATCCCACCCACCTGCTTACTCCAGCCCTGTCAGAGGCCTGTGGTCCCAACATGCCGAGCACACTTCTGCCTCAGTGCCCCCAGAGCCATTGTTCCCTCTGTCTGTGCACCCTTTCCACTGATCTGCACAAGTCACTCTCACCTCTTTAGATGTTATCTAAGTAACCCCCATACCTTGCCTTATTTGTCTACCTGATCACCAAGACGGCTTCTGCTTCATTTACTGAACACCTGCTATGCTGGGTGCTGAAATATTTGGTGAATAAATACTCTGTGGAGGGCTGTCATTAGAAACACCTCAGACAGGAAAGCAAAGTCCTAAATTCACCCAGTTTCAGTAATTTTTATATAGAAATCCACAAAGCCTTAAGAACTCCCAGTCCCTAGCTCCCCAGCCTCATGGTGAAGCTGTCCTCTCATAGTCTGTGAGTGAATCTGGGGTCAAGAGTAAAAACCTCTAAAGTAAAACCTCTTCAAAGTAATCTCTACAGTCTTAGAGATTAGCCTTTGGAAAAGGATTTGTTGCTGGAATTTCAAGAACATTAACTCTGAGCCTGGCTTATATACAAAGAAAAATGCCCGCAGGAGTCTTTAATCAGTTGGAAATATTTTTGGCAGGTAAATGAAGTTATTATTCACTTACATTACTCAACATGACCAAGTCCAAAGGTTTTCTAAGCAGATGTTTCAATCAATTGTGAGCCAAACCTGCAAGGACAGAGCTTTGATAACTCACCAGAACATCTGTCAGGTAGTCCACACTGTAGTTCTCACCATGCTTCCGTGCCTTCCCATTGATAGAGAGGGTGTAATTATAGTATTTAGAATTCTTTTCCTATTAGACAGGAAAGTAAAATTTGTTAAGAGGTCAGCATACCAAATGAAAGTCAGAAATCAGGCAGGGCTAAACTATACTCTGTTCAAATAGTGGTAAGACATTTTGGGGCAACTGGGTGGCATGGTTGGTTAAGCGTCGGACTCTTGGTTTTGGCTTAGGTTGTGATCTCAGGGTTGTGAGATTCAGCCCTGCATCAGGTTCCACGCTCAGCGTGGAGTCTGCTTGAGACTCTCTCTCCTTCTGCCCCAACCCGCGCCCCCAGCCCCAGTCATATAATTTTTTTTTTTTTTTAAGATTTTATTTATTTATTTGACAGAGAGAGAGACAGCGAGAGAAGGAACACAAGCAGGGGGAGTGGGAGAGGGAGAAGCAGGCTTCCCGCTGAGCAGGGCTGGGATCATGACCTGGGCTGAAGGCAGATGCTTAACAACTGAGCCACCCAGGCGCCCCAGTCATATAAATCTTTAAAGAAAAAAAAGGCATTAAAAAAAAAAAAAAGTAATTACCCAAGTTATTACTGAACTGGATTTTTTGACTAGTTTTATTAACTATTAGCATAGTTTCAATAATCTGTCGTAGTTTAAAAAGCCACAAGTGGATCAGATAGAACAGACAAATATGTAACTAAACCTTGTGTGATGCGGGAAAAACATCCCCCAGGAGTGACTCCCAAATCAACAGACTTTCTTTTAAGAGGATAAAATAGCTAATCATAAATGCAAAGCAACTTATATCAAAATCAGAGCTAAATTACAGAGTAAACATATTTTACTGTAGGGCTGTGTATAATTGTCACAGACTTCAATAATCACTCACCAAGGCATACCAATAACTCCAGCCTAGAGGAACGTGTTCTAGTCCACCGGCATCTGGGGCTCCATACTGAAAAGCAAGACAAGCAGAACATCAGAAATGCTCACACATGACCAGATCAGAAAGAAAGAGGAAACTTTTAGAATCCTTTTAGATCAGTGCCTGAAACCAGGTACTCAATTTCCCCAACACATAAATCCAGTCAAAAAGAACACTATAATCCTAGGAACTTCTGAAGCAGGAGTTTGCAAACTATGGCCAGTAGGCCAAATCTAGCCTGCCGACTGTATGATCAGCAAGCTAAGAATTTTTTTCCAACCATTAAAAAATACAAACAGCAATCAATAGAGGAATATTTTGTGACATGTGACAGTTTTAGAAAATTGACATTTCAGTGATGAAGATTTTTGGAACACAGATGCACTCATTTTGGTTTGTGTATGTCTATTGCTGCTTTCATGCTACAATGGTAGAGTCAAATAAAGGAATCCCCCTTATTTGCAGTTTCATTTCCCGTGGTTTCAGTTAACCCGTGGTCAACTGTAGTCCAGAAGCAAATGATCCTCCTGTCAGAAGGTCCCGATGCCTGTCATTGCCCTCACATGATCGCATCATGTAGGCACTGTACCATCTCACATCATCACAGGAAGGGGGAGTGCAGTGTAATAAGATATTTTGAGAGATACAACATTCACATAATTTTTATTGCATTATATGGTTGCAATTGTTCTATTTTGTTATTAGTTGTTAATCTCTTACTGTGCCTAACTTAGAAGTTAAACTTTATCACAGGTACATATACACAGATAAAAACAGTATACATAAAGTTTAGTACTATTGTGGTTTCAGGCATCTCCTGGGGGTCTGGGAAAGCATCCCCTATGGATAAGGTGGTGGTGGGGAACTACTGTGATCACAAAAGAGACATGTGGCCTGCAAAACCCAAAATATTTACTTCTGGCCCTTTCTAGAAAAAGTCCGCATGGCTTAGGCTACAGAGTTCATTTCCTGAGGCAGAGACTGAATAACTCCAACTGACCTTGTGGCTAACAACAGCCGAAATAATCAGACTGTGAGCTCTCAGCCTATAACTTCACTTGTCCTGATGATGAAACCTACTTTTGGAGCTCAATTTATTTGGTGAGATGAATTAAGTGACCACAGAATCATCCCATTTTATCTCAAGGTTTAGTATTGCCCATTTAAGGAAGAATTTAATACATGAGAAATCTTTATATTTTGAATTTCTCTGAATTTTGTATACAATTAAATGATCTTTGATATACAAAGTAGTATAAATTCTCTTTATGACCCACAGCCTTATCTCAATAACCTAGTATCTGTACTTATTTCTCATGATTCTTTTCAAACTGACTTCTCTTCCTTCAAACTCACAAGCTTGCATATTCTCCCAATTATTGTGGGGAGAGAAAGAATGAACAGAAAATTCAGATCAAATATTAGTATCTCTAGCAACCATGGATAAAGTATATAAGAAAATGTACATCTTTTCTTTGTCCTGCAGCCCCAGTTTTACTATAAGAGATAACCGAGATACTCTCAAACTATTTCCTTTAAGTTTGAACTCTGACTAAAAAGCTAATGTGGTGGTGAACCCAGGGGCCATGAAATCTGGCCTTGGCAGGCTATAATGGGTATCCCTCCATCTAGGCGCACAAGAGGCCAGCACATCCACCGCTAAGCCATATGCTTTAGTGGCCTGAATATCCCAGGCTCTGGGTGTCTTCCCTCAATTACTGATGGCTCCACATTTTGTTCCCATTTTTCCAAGTTAGAAAATGGGTAAGTCTTAAGTTGTTATAACGCAGGAAAGGTGGTAGGAGGAAAAAATTCTTCATTCTCATCCTGATAAAGGGGAAATGGAGACAAAGATACCATGACAGCCACATGAGAAGCAAAATTCTTGAAGAAAAAGGGGAAGATGCATCAGACAGCAGCAGTCATAGGACAACTTTTAAATAAATGCCATAGGCTATTTAAAGGAAGAAGAACTATAGTACTTAAATCATGTAAATATGCTCATGTAAGTAAATTCTTGTTTAATGGGCAGATTAGGAGAAAACAACATATACAAAAAAACATTTTAACATGACTCAAATGGATAATAACTAAAAGACAACATGAATTACATTAATTCACATTTATAAATCTTTTTTTTTTTAAAGGAATAATTAGATCATTCAACCTACCTCATTTAAGTATTTCCCTGCGAAAAAGGTCTGATAACCACACATCGATCTGAGAATTGCTGGGAAAGTATTTGGTTCTTGGATCTTCTGCCAAGACTTACTACTGCAGTTTCCCTCTAAAGTGTTGTTAACAACGTGATGATTATGTGGGTACTTCCCTGTCAAGATACTGGCTCTGCTCGGGCAGCAAAGAGCACTTGGCACATACTACAAAGGGAACAAGCAAAAAACCCAGTTACACAAGAAAGATGGATTTCTCATCATTTCTAAAGAGAGTAAAGAAAGCTACTTAATACTCTAACTTTGAATTTCAAGTTTCCCATGGAATAGAGTTTTTTTTGGTAACACATGACACACTTCTGAGCTGTTTTAAGTCCCATAGTAGAGAAGTAAACCAGATAAAAGAAACCAAGAGAACAGATTTTTCAGTTGGTTTCTTTCTGCAGAATAAGTTATTCCAATCTCATCTGCCAAAGAAATATGTACAGGATAGGAGCTAGGTCTTTTTTTTTTTTTTTTTTTTAAGTAGGCTCCATGCCCAGTGTGGAGCCCAAAATGGGGCTTGAACTCAAGACCCTGAGATCAAGACCTGAGCTGAGATCAAGAGTAGGACCCTTAACTGACTGAGCCACCCAGGTGCCCCTAGGAGCTAGGTCTTAACCAAAAATAAAGAATTAGTACTACTTGAATCTGATGTAGCTGAGAGGCACAGGTTCATTTTCAGGATAATCTGTAGCTTTATATATTTCCTGTATCACTTAATACACTGGACATAGATTATTTTTTCTACTCTATATTTCTGTTAGCTACTATCATCAATAAACTTTGCCCATTCTACCTAATATTTGTATACGTCTTAGTACACATCACCAAGCCACTTTACAGAGAATAATACTAGTTTATACTCGCACCAGCAGGGAAGGAATGCTCATTCAAGTACACCCTTTGCCACAATTACATATTACCCCTTTTAAATAATTGGCATTTCTTTGGCCTTTCAAATTGGATGTGGCATTTTTAAATACTGGTGAGGATGAACATTCTCCACATGCATAATGACCACCTGTGTTTACGTGAATGATTTGTTCATGTGCTTTGTACATTTTTTCCTCCTGGGGCATCAGCTTCTTGTTACATAAAATCTGAGTAAAGGGAGGACTCAGTCATGTTACAAATATTTGCCATTTTTTACTTCTGCTTTTTAAATTTTGTCAGATATTTGACTTCTGTAATTTTTACATTGGCAAGCCTTTTAATCCTTTTGCTTTTTTGTCTGCTGACCTATTTTTTGGTCAATCTCACACTGTTTACTGTAGCTTCATATTACATTTTATTATCTGGAAGGGCAATTTCCTCCTTTAAGAAATGACCTTGATTGTTCTAACCTACTTATAATTCCAGATAAATTTAGGATCACTTTATTCAGCCTAAAAAAAATCTTGTTGGGATTCTGATTAGGATAAACTAATCTTGGGTCTTCCCACAAAAATGATGGGTGTGTCTACATATTAAGTATTATTATTACATCATGCACAAAGTTCTGTAACCTTATTTATATAGGTCTTAACCATTACTGGCCACCACCAGCTATATCTAGAGTCTGCATTTTCCTGCTGTATGAATGGGCTCTATTCTCTCTCCTCCCCAGTACTTCTTTAACTGGTTATACAGGAGAAGATTATTTTTATTTTTCATTTCTACTTTACTAAACTCTATTAATTTAAAAAGTTTTCAAACAATTCTGTTTTCTAGGTAGAAAATACAAAGAAGTGGAAATAATAATTGTGTCTTTTTCCAATACTCCAGTTAATTCTGCAGGACTTGTGCCAATGACTAGACAATCAGAACAGCATTAAGTGACAAGTATTAGGCCCCTGTCTCATCTCTAACAGCAGTGGCCTGAATCTTTCACCTTAACTATAAGGTGTGCTATTTGTTTGAAATACTCATCTTAATAAGGATGCATTCTTCTAACAGTTTAATCCATTACCAGGAAAGGATGCTAAAATTTCAGAGGACTTTCAAGCATCTATTAAGATTTTGTCTTTCAACTACTGATCTTGTTGGTGGACAATATAACAACTCCCATTATGCAGTATGTACTATAAGTCAGGTGCTGATATGAGTGCTTGCCTTACACCTATCTACTCATTTAATATCACAGAATCCAGAGACAGCTTTTAGTACACCCAGTTACAAATGGGGAAACCAAGGGCCACAGAAAGGTTAATAACTTGCCCAACGTCACACAGTTAGAAAAGAGGCAGAGAGAGCATTCAAAACTAGGTGATCCAGCTCTAGAATCTGTGCTCTTAAGCAAAACACTATGTTGCTGTTTAATGGATTTCTTGATAAGCTAGGCTACTACTTACTTGGTTATGTGCATGGTTCCTGAATTTGATTTATTAGTATTTTATTATGGATCTTTCCATCTCTTTGCATCTCCTTCCTTCCTTCCCTTCCTTCATCTGGGCTCCACACCAGGCCTGAACCCCCAACCCTGAGATCAAGACCTGAGCTGAGATCAACAGTTGGACGCTTAACTGACTGAGCCACCCAGGCGCCCCGCACCTACATTTATATATACATATATATATTTATATCTCATACACGCACATATATGTGTATATATACACACACAGATGTTTGTTTTGTTTGGTTGCTATTACCTTTCTCAGGTTTGACTGTCAGGGTTAACTGGGCTTTGTAAAGTGGCCCGCAAGCGTTGACCACAAAGCAATTTACATAGCATGAATGTTAACTTGATTATTACAATCCATTTTCAAACCTCAAACAGTGAGGCTTTAAAAAAAATTCTCTAGTTCTGAACTATAAATCAAAATGGCTTAGAAAATACCTACACTGGACATAGGTTCAATTCGTAAAAAGTGGTATTTCAATTAAAAGAATTTAAATCACATTAAATAAAGTCCTTCCTTTAGATCAGGCATTTAACTAGGGAAAAAACCACAAAGATTACATTAGACTCCCCAAAAGAGAGTGCTTCTTCTTAGAACATGAACAGAAAGTCTCACAAAATTAAGTTAGCTTCAAAACTTACAGCACTGGAGAAAGTCATCCCCATTTCTCCAATGAGAGCCTTGGTTTTCTTTAGTGGTGTCTGTGAAGTAAATAATCATCTGTTAAACCATTTCCTCCAATAAACAAAAACACACAGACCAAACCTCATGTCTTTTGCATCTCATTTGCAATGATCAGCTCCAATGGACACTAAGAAACCGCCAAAAAGAGTCCTGTGTGATTCTGGAGATGAACTTACAGTCAGTTATGTCCCATGCAAAAGATCAGAGGGGTCATAATGCCTGAAGGAAGGGAAAGTTCACAGCTCATTGCATTATTCTAGCAATACTGATTTCAATATAATGAAATTTTGGTGCTATCTTTCGTCACTAGCCCCCTCACAAGATAGATAAAGCAGATCTCCATTAATTCATCTTTAGGAGCAAGATGTGGGCTAAGAGATGAAAGGAGCCTTCCACCCTTTAAAACAGAAATAACACTTAGGTTTGAAAGCCAGATAAGATCCTGAGGCCCAGAAAAGGACTCAAATATCACAAATCCAGTGATGGGAGTCCAAATGCACGCTTTTCAACTACAAGCTCAAAACCCCATGCACTAGACCAATTACCACCTCAGGTAAGGACTTGAACCAGGTGGCAAATAGTAGACAACAATTAATCTCAAATCCTAGAGTGAGGATAGAAGTCTGAAGAAGGCCATTTAAATACAAATAAATACAAATAAAAGGAACACCAACAATCTTTATTCAGATTCCAGACAACAAAAAAGTAGCACTGAAGAGACTCTAATTTTAGTTGTATTGTATGAATCAGCTCATGATGATTTTGAAGTACCTTTGAAATCTAAGACCATATTTAGTGCAGTTTTAAGTATACCTTATTGTGTAGTAATTCCTTAAAGATAATCTAAATATATAATTACGTTAACAAGGGTCTTGTTTATAATACTGTATAAATGACTCTCCCCCACTGTTTTATATAGATAGTAAAAAACCTAAAGAACCCATAAGCTCAAAAGGATGAAGATTCTAATTTATTTAAGAAGACCTTTCATAATTTCATGAGTAGATCTGTAATAGGTTCCCAGGAAATGCTACAGATGTATAAGGTCTTCGTTAACCTTCAGAAGCAATGTCACCAGCTATGATCTCCACAAAACATCACTGAGTGCTACCTTCAGGTAAAGAATATTGGGCTGAATGAAACACTGGTTTGACAAGAAATCTGAGTTATGATGACACAGGAAGGGGAAATGAGAATACAAAGTGTAAGTGGGGAAAAGGACTATGTAAGTTGATTATATGGGACTTAATCCTCAAACTGGTAAATATGCAAAACTACTGAAGAAATATCTGATTTACAGTAAGACTATACTGTGTGATTAAAACCCATTTGTTAAACACTTAATGTGTGCCAGGCACTGATGGAGGCCAGGACGGACAAAAGACAGAAGGTCCTTAACCTCATGACCTTTGTACTCTTGGGGACTTAAACAACTGACAGGTAAACAATCATTTCAGGCAGTGAAAAGTGCTATGAACGGAATGAACCAGGATGACGTGCTTACACCTGGTGAGAGGAAAGGGGGAAACTACTTTAGAAGGGTGGTCAGGAGAGGCCTCTTTCAGGAGGTAACTTTGGTACTCAGAGTCACATGATGAGGAGGCCAGCCATGCAAAGATCCAGGAGAAGGTGCTTCCAGGCTGAGTGAATAGCAAGGACAAGGGCTGCCAGAGAAGAGGCACATGTGAGGAACAGAAAGGTGGCGAATGTGGTAGAAGCAGCACAGCAAGTAAAGGAGACTATGGGGTAAGACAAGGTCAAAGCGTTAGGCAGGAGCCAGCAGATGATGCAGGGCTGCATAGGAACACAGATTTTAGTGTCAGTAAGAAATTTATATTAATGACCATAATTTTTATACTGCTAACACTAGTACAGTGATAACCATAATCTGTGCTAAACCAAACAAATCCTAAACAAGAACCACCCTGTACTGAAAATGTGCATGTCCGTGCTAATCTGAATGCTAAAATGGACCCTTAAGATGTCAGCAAAGATAGCTGCAAGGCCGGTCAGGTCAAGGCTGTACAACATTGCTTAAGCAGTAGCCAATCTTACACCTGAATATGGGTAAATGTGTTACTTTACTCCTCCAAAGCAAATCCCTTCCATAAAAATCCTAAGGAGTCATTTACTTTTTTGGCTCCCGTGTACAGCTGCTCTGAAATAAAATTTTAACATTTCTAATAATCTATGGCTTATTTTTCTTTTAACAATGAAAGACCACCTTGCTTTTAAGCAAAGACATGATGTAGTCTTCCCCTATATTTCATCACCGCTCCTTCCTTCACTTCCTTGAAGTTTTGACCAAATGTCACTTTTTCTAGAGTGAATGATTTTAAAAAAGAGCAACCTGTGCTTCTGTGAAGAACAGTGTGTCCATCCCGCCATAATAACATTCAAGTAAAATAAAAAAATAGGAACTGTTCCCTAAGCAAACAAACCAAAGTCCCACAGATGATACTGCAAGAAATACAGTGAAATGTTAAAGATAATGCATAAAAGACAATTTCAAAGATGACTGAAAGATTCTACGTGAAAAAACAATCACACAAGCACTATAATCCTTTGACCTGAGCTGGTCTGGTTGATTGGACTACTGTTTATTTTGCCAACGATGGCAGCAATTCATAATCTTTTTTGAGTCAGACCTCACTCTCTCCACAAATACAGAGTATTACATATAAATTAAGGACTTCCATGACCCCCCCCCCCCCCCGCCACACACACACACAATGTCCCTGAGTATCATCTTAAGAATCTCTGGTCTGAGGTATAATAAGTGAGTAGCTGATGTGGGTATGTGGAATGACATCTGTTAAGTATTATCACAATATTCTAGAATATGAGGAAAAAGTGGAGCTTTAAGGTCATAAGACACCAGGCTTTCCTACTTATTAGCTATACAAACTTTGGCCAAGTTACTTAACACCCTCTAAGTTATTAGTTTCCTCTTATTTAAGGGAAGGACAATATGTACAGCAGAGGACTCCTGTAATGACTGAAGCACAAGTATAAAATACTTCATACTCTAACAGCTCCAATAGGTTTTCAAATGCTGTTATTGTCTTAGTGCTTTCCCTTCAAGTCCTGTTGGACAACTAGTGGTAGAATACTCTGGAAAAGGCTACAAGAGAAGCCAGAATACCCCAGCGAGTTGGGAGCATTAAATTTGACTTGTTCCCTCCACTCAATTTTGGCTCTTCTCTTTAGTATAAACACCTATAAAAAAAGAATCTGATACTAGTTTAAAGAAGCAAATACGACTAACATGCTAAGGAGAAGATACCTCAAATCTACACAGACCACATCTGTGGTTAAGAATTAAGAAACTCAATTCTGAACACCTTATATTTCAGTGATAAATTTTTGTTTTCAACAGAGATGTAAAAGCTTGACCTTTTAATTGTTTTAGTCAGTAAGTTATTACTAATTTTTGATGGAGATGGCTTGCCTTTTCTAGACAAAACACTTTCCAAGGACACACACACACAAATTTTTTTAAAGGAATTTTGTGAGGAGGGTCAGTGTAGTGGTGGGAATGGGAAAAACAAAGTAAATTCCAGGAGAGCAATTAAGTCAAGACTCTTCAATGTCAATGTGGCAGAGCAGAAATAAAAGGCAATGAGGCATATGTGGCAGGAAGAAGTGTGGAGTCAAAATGCAAGCATCGGAAACATAAACTAGAAAAGTTTCTCATAGTCGTGAACACAGCCCTGAGTAAGAAATATTTTCATACATAACCCAGAAATATATATATGGATATGTGTACCTTTACCATATGTACCACATGTATCACACCAACATTTTCTATTCTATTTTATTCCACAGGAAAGTAAAAACCTGGTAGCTACTCACTGAACTAATTTCACAACTCACTTATGGGTTGAAATCGGCAGTTTGAAGGACACTGAGCTGAAAGCAAAAACAGAGCTGAAAGCAAAAACAGAACTGAAATGAAAAAATAAAGGATATATATATATTTTCTTAAAGATAAAAGAAATGCCATACCCAAATCAGAGCACTCGTCAGCATTCTGACCTGTTTCAACTATTCAACCGCCTTGGGAAAGCCACTTTCTCGGGCCTCCATGAGTAGGGGGTTGGGTGAAAGCTCCTGAAGGTCATAAATTCCAGAACTCTAAGATACAGAAGCAAAATTCACTCTGGGAAAGAATGAGGTCTCATGACCAGGCACATTTAAAATGGAACGCGGACAAGAGTAGCGAATGCATCAGCCAGGTGTTCAATTAGGCTAATTGAATTTTCTTGATTCTTGTGAGGCAAAGCGCACCCTCGATAGTTCGACAACCTACCTACCAGATTAGTTCATTTCAGCACTTATTTTATAAATATCAGGCACAGACATTGTACACGGAGACAAATACAGAGGTGCCGTAGGTCCTTCAAAGAGAGGGCTGGACTTGTCCTCAGATCCTCTAATCCAAAAGAAAAACACAGCTTGCGTGCTCTTAGCTAGCACCTGCTCCTCCTTGGTTCAGCCCATCCCTAACTGGCGTCCACCTGTTTATTTTGAGCTATGAACGCGAACTCCGCAGCACTAAGGTCCAGACTAGGAGCTCTGTGTGGTGCGTGCATGTGTGCCTACTCAGAAAAGACGCGGGAGAGGGACGCGGGAGAAAGAGGAAATAGAGTCCTGCGGCCCCTCAAACTTGCGTAAGGGGTCTGGCGTGACAAAAGCAAAACTATCCAAGGCCAAGGCAGCCAGCTGAGGGAATTGGGGTGGGTATGGGGAAAGAGGACAAGAAACCTGGGGGTCAGCCCGGGAGATGGAGGGGCGGGGCAGAAATAGAAGAGTTACCATGCCGCCGAGCACTTCATCCTGGTCGTCGGTGAGGAGCAGGACCACATTGGGCCTCCGAGAGCCCGCCGCCACCCCACAGACCCCCAGGCAGCTCCCCAGCAGCAGCAGCAGCGCTGGGCTGCAGGAAGGCAGGTGACAGGGGCTGTTCCGCCGGGGCCCACTTGGGGCCAGAGGCAGGAGCCACATGGCGGACAGGGCTCCGGGGGAGGGCCCCGGGACCGAGTAGAGAGGGACGCGCAGGTGTCTGAAGGGCAAAAGGCGGATGAACCGCAGGAGGAAAAGGGTGGCCCGGATAAGGCCGGGGGCTGGGGTCAGGCGTTTTCTCCCCTAGCACGATCACGTGAACCGGGGACAGGGGGCGGAGCAGCCGTGCGGTCATGTGAGGACCGATGGGGCGGGCCTGCGGGCGGAAAGGGAGGGTGGACGGATCGGCGGGCCGGAAACCGGAAGTGGACGGAAGGGGGCGAAGAACGGGTCGGAGACGGGGATTTGCACTTTCTTTAGTCTGAGGCACGGGTTGGGTTCTCGGGTGATGTGAGTGTGAACGCTTGGTGCAAGGATTAGGATGGAGAGAAGATGGGGCGCCTGGGTGGCTCAGTCGGTTAGGGGGCTGCCTTCGGCTCAGGTCATGATCCGGGGTCCTGGGATTGAGCCCCGCGTGGGGCTCCCTGCTCAGCGGGGAGTCTGCTTCTCTCTCCCGCTGCTGTTCCCCCTGCTTGTGCTCGCTCACTCTCTAAATAAATAGATAAATAAATACATACGTACATACTAAAATGGAAAGATGATAAGATGAAATGGAGGAGGGAATCAGCTCACAGTAAGCGATTAAGAGAAGGGAGGAATGTACCTACCAGGTAGTAAGATCAGCTGATAGGCAAAAGTCTGGTCTCTATCGTATTTTATCCTCGAGTCAACAGACACTTATGAGGGCCCTTATATTTAATCATTTCTAATTTTCTCTACAACTCACCTGTTACATTTGAAGCTGGATTCTGAGTCAGCTTTCTTAACTCCAAGCCTCAGCTGATAACGTGATTTCAAACAAGCAAACAACTTAGGGATATCCTGACACCCTAATATTACTTGGTGAATTTTTGAAAGCCCTCTTAGAAGATGTTGGAGGATATGCACATTGAACAAAAACAAAACCCCTGAGGGCGCCTGGGTGGCTCAGTCGGTTAAGCGACTGCCTTCGGCTCAGGTCATGATCCTGGAGTCCCGCATCTGGCTCCTTGCTCAGCAGGGAGTCTGCTTCTCCCTCTGACCCTCCCCCCTCTCATGCTCTCTCTCTCTCTCTCATTCTCTCTCAAATAAATAAATAAAAATCTTTAAAAAAAAAAAAAAACCAAAACCCCTGAAACATGGTTACCCAACCACATTAAGTAATCTTTAGGGGGAAAAATTCCATGAACTAAGGCTCCAAATATTTCTGTGGTAGCTCTAGTACAGCTCTACCTCAACCCTCTGCTGAAGTCTGTGAAAACAGAATTATCCCTGGCAAGGTGAGGGGTCAAGCCTTATTCCCAACTTAGAGCAACAACTGTGCCTCCTGGCTCCTAGCAAAGTGTATTTTCTCTTAAGTTAGACCATCCGGCATAAAAAGTGTTTTAAAACTCATGAAAGCACTATACTATTATGAGGTAAAAATAATCGTGGAAGTACTTTGAAATGTTATATATACAACTATAAGCCTTACACAAAAGGAAGTGTTACCTTTTTGAAAAAAAAAAAAAAGGCTTACAGAAGGCAAGAGAATCTTTACAAAATGAAGTAAAGGTCCACTGCAAGTAAAAGTATTCTGGGAATCTGGTCAGAGTAGTTCCCAGATGACCATGGTACTGGGTTACAACCTCAAACTAGGCTCATTTTGCAAGCTGGTGCAATAATCCCTAAGAAATCAAGACTTCCGTGAAGACTACTGGCACAAAAAAGAACCTGCATTGATGCCCCAAATTCTAGGATTATATCACTGTTCTTAGTACAAGGCTAGATTATGAACTATTTGATGGCAGAGATTGTATAATTAAGGGCCAGCTTTATTCCAGATGCTAGACTAATGCTGAGGAGACACTCTTCCTTTTTCATGGAACTTGCAGTCTAGTTGCAGAAATATATACAATCTAATAATCACAGAGATGTATTATTACAAATAAGGAGACATGCTATGAAGGAAAAGTAAAGAGAGCAATGAACATTTAAGGAGGTGGGGGGCTGACCTAATTTAAGGATTCGCTGAGGAAGTAAACTTTCAGTGGCCATGGGGAGTTTAAATAGGAGGTAATTTGTTAATGGGACAGTGGGGTGGTAGAATGTCTCCTAGACACAGGGTACAGCATGTGCAAAGATCTTGAGGTAGTGTATTCAAAGAACTAAAAGATGCCAGTGTAGTTGGAGCAGAGGGAGAGAAGGAGGTGGAGAGGTAGACAGGGCCCAGATCCTATGTTAAGGATTTTGGTCTTCATCATAAGGCTAATGGGAAATCACTTGAAGAGTAGGGGAGAAATAAAATCATACATGAATTTGTATAGGGTCCTTTATGCTGTGGTGTGGTGTGCAGATTAGAAGACGACAAGAATGGATGATGATAAGAGAACAAATCCAGATTTTGTGGGGTGTGAAGCTTATATGTATATAATTTGGCAAGGGTGGCTCCTTAAGTAAAAGAATAACAATTATAAATACAAAATTAGGTACAAAAGTGAATATTTATTTGGACTAAGAAAAGAAATAACCATATTATAGATTTTTAAGAGTTGAAAAATATTACAAATTACAAATGCAAAATATTAAAATATAACATTTTTATTACTGAACTACCAGACACACCTCTCCATGCTTCCCCCCCCAACATTTTATGGCTATGTACACGTCAATCATACCTTCATATGACAGTGGCTTTGTAATATATTCTATGGAGAGAATAGGAAGATAATTTAGTCTTTTCTCTAGCATAGTTGATCAGTATTCATTTTTTATTACTGATAGTTCAGAAATTTTTTTTCATCCTCAGTTCTGTATTGGTTATACACACACACACATCCTTATTGTAATCATGTATTATGAGTTTATATCCTCTTCATTCATGTCAATTTGAGGTCAAATCAAAAATAAATTTAATATTTTTAATGAGTTTATATGATTCACTTTTTACAAATTGATTATCAAACTATTACTTTCATTTGCAATTTATCTCTTCCACAATTACTGTTTTTGTTATGATCTGCAAAAAAATGATTACTATTTACTTTTCAATGTCAGGATAATTTCTTTTGATTTTCTCACTCATCTTTATCACTTTGATTTAATGTTCATGATTTTTTTTTACCTCAGTTTTATCTCAGTGCTTTAATAAAATAAAGATGACATAAGAAGGCGCCTACTATATACGTCCACGTCAGGAGTCTGAAATTTTTCAGTTGTTTAATTGAAATGTTCCAAAGTGACTTTCTAAATGACAGTTAAAATACTATGTTTGGGTTTTATCAACTGTTAGATAAGTTTGTATTTTTTAAAAAACATTTTATTTATTTATTTGAGAGAGTTAGGGGGGAAGGGGCAGAGGGAGAGAATCTTCAGGCAGACTCCCCACTGAGCATGGAGCCCAACACCAGCTTAATCTCAAGACCCTAAGATCATGCCCTGAGCCACCCAGGTGCCCCTGCAAGGTTGTTTTTATTTTATTTTTTTTTAAGATTTTATTTATTCATTTGAGACACAGAGATAGAGAGAGAGAGAGAGCATGAGCAGAGAGAGAGACAGAGGGAGAGGGAGAAGCAGGCTCCCCACTGAGCCAGGAGCCAGATGCAGGGCTCAATCCCAGGACCCTGGGATCAGGACCTGAGCAGAAGGCAGACACTTAACCATCTGAGCCACCCAGGCACTCCTGCAAAGTTGTTTTTAAAGAGCATGTAGCCCTTTGTTCTAATCATCATAATAGTTGTGCTGACATATGACTGTAAATGTTGTTCAACCGCAGATTAAAATAGCTCAAATATTTTTTCACCTTGTTGAATAAAGTCTCATAAATGTTTCAGTTGGGTAAAAAAGTTAAAAATTGCTAATAGGGGTTCCTATTAGAGGAGTAGTGAACAATAATTGACAACTGATCAGTTTGTCACATCCAGAATAAAATATGTAATATTATTTGGTGTCTGGTTATGTATTTGATTTACCACTTTTGAAAACATTTTTCCACGAAGGGCGCCTGGGTGGCTCAGTTGGTTAAGCATCAGACTTCAGCTCAGGTCATGATCTCAGGGTCCTGGGATGGAGCACTGAGTCGGCCTCTGCACTCATTGGGGAGTTTTGCTTGTCCCTCTCCTTCTGCCCCTCCCCCCCACTCGTGCTTTTGCACCCTCTCTTTCTCAAATGAATACATAAAATCTTAAAAAAATGTAAAAAATGTAGATTAAAAAAAAAAAACAAAAAACCCCCAAAAAACCCCAAAACATTTTCCCATCAGGCTGGTTGGCTTAGTTGCTAGAGCATGCATCTCTTGGTCTCAGGGTTGTGAGCTTGAGCCCCATATTGGGTGTGCAGATTACTTAAAAATAAGGTCTTTAAAAAAGTTTTAAGAACATTTTTCCATTATTTAAATTAACTTTTCATAAATTGTGGTAAAATAAGTCACTTTTAAATTAAAAAAATTTTTTTTCCTACACCTTAAGCAAAAATGGATTAAACCCAGCTATTAGTTGAAAAATTCCCATAAAATTTCCATTATGGGTACAACACTACTTTTTATTATGACCTTTGAAGTAAAAATATCTTTAATTTAAATATTTAATAACCTTAAGACCTCCATCTCTGACCATGATGGAATAATAGGGCACACTAACCTTTTTGCTATAGACAACCAGAAAACAGGACAAAATATGTTTCACACAATGGACAACAGTCAGTGCAGGACTATTATCCATGTGTAAAAAGGAAACAATTGTCCCCACTTTCAGTTTGTAGGCACATTCTGAACCAGGGAGCCAGAAGGAGGATCCTATGTAGAACAAAGATGAGTTGAGGGGAGAGAGATTAAGTTTGGGGGAGGCTGAGGTAGCTGGAAGTTGGGAGACAAAGTTCCAAAGAGGAGGAAAAGCTCCATAAATCTGCAAATATCTTTTTGAGATTTTGTTGAACACTAAGATATCCATATGTAGGGTGAAGCCATCATACATAAGGTAAGGCAATGAATAAACAAGGAGATGTAAGAATTCTCAGAGGAGATATTTGAGATCCAACCAGCCAGGAGAGAGTCTTCTTTGGTCATCAGGGCTATTAATAGAGAACCCAAAAAGGTCATATCCTAGTAGTAGGGCTAAATTATCATGAGTGAAAAGTACTGTATACCTGCAATGATAAAGTTTATT